TCGCACGGCGCAGTTGTTATGCCTTGAAGGCGGTGGTCACGCAGGAGGTGGCGCCAACGTGCTAGTTCCTGGCACCGCCACCTTTCATGATGTCGAAGAGCTCAAGCAGAGTGACCCAGAAGTTGGGGAGTACCTTACCAGCGAGATGTGGCAGAAGTTGCAGAAACACATCCGTGCCGTTCCGACCCAGGTCCAGGCCGATGACCCGATGGGGCAGCAGCCTGGTGGTGCGCCTGGTGCTGGCGTTGCTGGTGGGGCCAGTGGTGAGCCCGCCCGCGGAGGTGGTGGAGACGATGCTGCACAGTCTGCCGACGCAGACGCTGCAGAAGTTAAGCGCCACAACGAGCTCAGTGAGTTGTCTCCCGAGGAACGCAAGACATTGCGGGCTTCTTGCGAGAGCTTCGAAGACTCCCAGCAAGCTGGATGAGCTCGACGCAACCAAAATTATCCTGACGACGGACCCAACCATATGCAGTTATGGGTACCGCAACTGTGAATATTTTCTTCGGTGGAGCTTCCTATGGGGCCACGAAGCGCCGCACTGGGTGGAGGGGAACGCATGCGGGCGGTAGAACTGGGGCCGTCGGGCGAACTCCCTATGGGGCCACGAAACGCCGTACTGGGTGGGGTGAAAATGCCAAATTTGGTTTGTGGGACGCATGCGGGCGGTCCCAGTGGCGGCTTCGGTGGAGCTCCCTATGGGGCCACGAAACGTATGAAGGGTGTGCCAAATTTGGTTTCCGGGACGCATGCGGACGGTCCCACTGGGGGCTTCGGCGGAGCTCCCTATGGGGCCACGAAGCGCTGCACTGGGTGGGGGGGAACGCATGCGTGCGGTAGAACTGGAGCCGTCGGGCGAACTCTCTATGGGGCCGCGAAGCGCCGTACTGGGTGGGGAGAAAGTGCAACACTTGGTGTGTGTGGGACGCATGCGGCCGGCCCCAGTGGCGGCTTCGGTGGAGCTCCCTATGGGGCCACGAAACGTATGAAGGGTGTGCCAAATTTGGTTTCCGGGACGCATGCGGACGGTCCCACTGGGGGCTTCGGCGGAGCTCCCCATGGGGCCACGAAGCGTTGTACTGGGTGGGTGAAAATGCCAAATTGGGCTTCCGAGGCGCATGCGGACGGTCCCACTGGGAGCTTCGGTGGAGCTCTCTACGGGGTCACGAAACCCCGTAGTGGGTGGTGTGAAAATACCAAAATTGTGTTTCAGGGACGCATGCGGACAGTCCCACTGGGGGTTTCGGTGGGGCTTTCTATGGGGCCACGAAGCGCTGCACTGGGCGGGGTGAAAATGCCAAATTAAATTTCCGGGACGCACGCGGACAGTCCCAGGGGCTTCGGTGGGGCTCTCTATGGGGTCACGAAGCGCTGTACAAGGGGAGGGGGGCGCATGCAGACGGTAGCACTGGGACCTTCGGTGGGGCTCCTTATGGGGCCACGAAGCGCTGTGCTGGGTGTGGGGGACGCATGCAGACGGTAGTATTGGGACCTTCGGCGGGGCTCCCTGCGGGGCCACGGAACGCTGCACTGGGCGTGGGGGGCGCATGTGGACGGTAGCCTTGGGACCTTCGGTGGGGCTCCCTATGTGGCCAAGAAGTGCTGTACTCGGTGGGGGGGACGCATGCGGACGGTAGCACTGGGGCCTTCGGCGGGGCTCCCTATGGGGCCACGAAGCGCTGTACTGGGTGGGGGGGGCGCATGCGGACGGTAGCACTGGGACCTTCGGTGGGGTTCCCTATGGGCCACGAAGCGCTGTGCTGGGTGGGGGGGGGCGCATGCGGACGGTAGCTCTGGGACCTTCGGTGGTGCCCTCTACGGGGCGTGTGTGTGTGTGTGTGTGTGTGTGTGTGTGTGTGTGTGTGTGTGTGTGTGTGTGTGTGTGTGTGTGTGTGTGTGTGTGTGTGTGTGTGTGTGTGTGTGTGTGTGTGTGTGTGTGTGTGTGTGTGTGTGTGGTGTGTGTGTGTGTGTGTGTGTGTGTGTGTGTGTGTGTGTGTGTGTGTGTGTGTGTGTGTGTGTGTGTGTGTGTGTGTGTGTGTGTGTGTGTGTGTGTGTGTGTGTGTGTGTGTGTGTGTGTGTGTGTGTGTGTGTGTGTGTGTGTGTGTGTGTGTGTGTGTGTGTGTGTGGGGGGGCGCATGTGGACGGTCGCACTGGGACCTTCGGTGGGGCTCCCTATGGGGCCACGAAACGCTGTGAACGGGTGATTATGATGATGGTGGTGATGGAGGAGGGAGAAGGGGGAGGAGGAGAGGAGAGGAGAGGAGGAGGAGAACGCGGGGCGACGTCTAGTCAAAACGAGGACCCAACACCACAGGATGGTTGGGAAAAAAACGCGGCATCCCTGACGACGGCGAGGCTTTGCTACGGCGTGAAGGTGCTAGCGAGGTGGGCGGCATGGCTTTTCGGAACTGTGCAGTCTCCCCCCCGTCGAGGACCAACGACGTTCCTGGTGGAGGCGTTGCCCGTCCTCATCGCGGCAAGGAGAGCGAGGGTCGGCAGC